CTATTAGACAAGATTTGCGCTAAGTGTCGTACTTTGTCTGCTTTTGAGAGTGCTTTCTGTGAGTTGGCACCACTTCTGCTGTGGTGCAGTTGGTCCGCGGCGCTGCTGAGGCAAGGGATCGGTTGAAAAGCTGAGCCAGCGCAGCTGCAATAATGTCAGCAATGGGCAAACGGTTGCCGGCTGCAGCCCATCGAAGCCCGCGGCCTTTTTCTGATCTAGCTGTTTCAGTGCTGCTTCTACCTCCTTTGGCTCTAGGACGGGCGGAGCCATTTGCTGTTCTGGGAGCGTTCCTAGTAGGTCAGGTAACGGTTTCCCCAGTCCGATTTGTGGACTTTCTCAAAGAAGCTCTTTAGAACTGCAGCCTTCTCCTTACCGGTGGCGGCAACAACACCATCTGCATTAACTACAATACCGCCCCCTACCCGAGAGTGGGCCTTAGACTGCACATAGTTGTAGTAGGGTTTTGGTCGCTCTTTAGCATTGCGAGCAAACCCAATCTCATATTCCCTTTTGGCAGTGTCTCTGAATCCTAAGTGACCTATCTCTCGCCACCCGAAAATGCAGGTGCTGTCGATGGCCACCAAAGCTACTGAGGCAGCTCCATACCTTCAAATTTACGGCTTGTGCCCTGAATACCTGTCTTGCCCACCAAGGCGGCCGGCTCCCTCTTCGGACCCTTTTTAGGGGAGCGAAAACGTCGTTGAGCTGGCTGATGGTGTCCTTGAATTACTGCCACTCCTGCTCCACGGAGAGGATACCGTCTGTTGACCACTGGATTGTCTCTACTGCTTGCCTGAGCGCCAGTACCTTCAGCTTCCTGTAGTCCCGCCTGAGCTTGCGTGAAACCGCGGGAGGGTTTCCTCTGATATAGAACCTAAGCACAAAGATCAGTTCTGGTCGGGTCACAGGACTCGCGGCTGATGCCAACTTGAGTCCAGGTTCTTGTACCGTGAGCGTATCGTTTGCCTACGTGTGCTTCGACAATAGAGAATCCGTTGGGCTCCCCGTAGCCCATTTGGGCAACTTTCAGTTCAGGTGCAACTTCTGTAGCTGATACAGTACAAGTCTGAAGAGGAATGCCTGCAGAAATAGAAAAGAGAAAGAATGCCTGCGGTCTAGGTATGCACCTAGCAGAGCGGATTAGTAAGACGAGGCAATGCTATATCCTAAAAGGTTTTCTAATTTTGCGGATGTTTGGATATACCCGGCAGGGTAAAAATACGCTTGTGGAGAAGATATGAGAGTGCGCATTAGGTAAGGTAAAGTGAATGGTATGGTTGCTTCGCCCTAGGGGAGCAGAAACCCCGAGTTGTTCCACATCATGCAGCATTTTGGTCAGAACTAAGTCCAACATGCTGAGCCTTTGCCCCTCCTGGCATCTAGTGTGTTGGTTGACGTGTTGCACCAGGGGTAGCACTATCATCAGGTCCACTAGTTTTGTACCAAATCCAGAGAGAGGGGCCCACAGGCTTTCCCAGTCTACCTCCGGAGAGTTGAAATCTCCCATGATGCCCATCCGCTCCGCGTGGTTGTTTACCCTGGTCAGAGATTCGCACAGTTGGCCATCCTCCTCCTCATCTGAGAGTGGTGCCCTGTAGGTACCTACTACTGCACCACATATTTCTGCCTTCCAGAAAAATTGCATATCGAAGTGTTGGAAGCGAAGGAAACTCGCCGACAATGTACAAATCTGGACCATCGATTGGCAAGAGCCACAATTCGTCCTGTGAAAACTGAACTGAACTGAACTGTATTACAGTCACTATACATTTCATGAATTGTATGTTGCATGAACACGCCTGAATATTCGGCGTGGACATGTGTTCGCCCTTAGACTGATCCAGGGTGTCCGACACAAGGAGCAGTATGCCACCTCCACCCCTACCGTCTCCCCTGTCTCACCTGTACGCACAGTACCCGATGAATTTCAGGCTCTCCGTCGTGATGGCGTCGTGTAGCCATGTCTCAGCAATCACAATACAATCTGTTCCTACGGCTTCGTTTTCGCTCCCCTAAGAAGGGTCCGAAGAGGGGGCCGGCCGCCTTGGTGGGCAAGACAGGTATTCAGGGCACAAGCCGTAAAGTGGAAGGCATTGACCTGCCTCAGGTTTTGGTGTTGCTGGTTTGTTCGTCGTTGTTTCCCCCACCACCTCGGCTTACTATTTTCTGTCACATGTGCACCCATTGCTTGTTCACCCACCAGGCGTTTTGTTGCGGACGGCCTTGGTGACCCCCTGGAGACAGTACCTCGGGTATCATGGTGATTACAACCCTATTTGCAACCGTTGCACACCCACTTTAGCCTAGTGTGTTTACCGTAAATAGCGTTGATCTCCGTAAAGAACCTATATATCTTTGATGAGCCTGGAGCGCATGCTAAAAGAGGCCATCCTGAAGCAACTCTGCGCAAATAATTTTCTTTCAACCTTTCAGCACGGGTTTCTACCAGGCAGATTTTTCATCACCAAATTGCTGACTGTCACAGATGATTTGAAAAAGGCTCATAATGAAGGCCGAATCGGGCACGCCTTATAAATAGATTTTGCCAATGACTTCGACAAGGTCCCATACGTCCCACTCATACACAAACTAGGGGCTTGCGGAATCGTTGATTCTCTTCTATCTCTTATTTGCATCTTTCTCTCACCTCAGTTTTTCTGTGAGGGTAAACGGTACACTAGCCGAACCTAGCCCTATTACAACCTGTATCCCTCAGGGATCTGTTATTGGTCCTCTTCCCTTCCTTATTAATATTACCAAGCTACCCAGTGCATTACCTGCCAACAAAGCTATGTAGGCAGATGATGTCACTATCTGGAGTACAGATGCCCGCACGCAACAGACATCTATCGATGCTGTAAAACACTGGTCCGTGTACGTCAACCAATTCGCACTTGAGTGACGCGTGGCCGAAACCGATACGAATCCCGAAATAAAACACGATTAATCTGTAATGTTCTACGGTACGGAATTAGCAAAATCATTACAAATGTACAATAAAGCAAAGCTCAAATATGCGGCCAAAAGCGCTCAAACAAGCGAGCCAAATATGATGTCCAGATAGTGCCAGACAGTCACTCACGTTCTCTGACCACGCAAAATTCAAGTGTGCCGGGCATCAAATGGACAGCTAAATAATAATGTATGATATTTGTAATTGAGGAATGTCAATAGAGAAGCAACACACAGATAGAGTTATTTCACCATAAATCATCATGGGTATGGAAGGATTTTCAAAAATTCAACATGAAATACACCGGCCGCCAAAATCATTTGTGCGCTCGTCTGAGTCACAGGGTTGGCGCAGGTCATTGATTCCTGTCTACCTATCTACCTACTTAGTCCCTGCTGTCAGTGCTTCTACCTACGAGCTGTTCAACCTTTGTCGCACTCAGTGATCTTGACCTCCGACGACTTGTACGTTTCTTCGCCGGGATCTGCCTTCTGCATCAGCACGCTTGCAGCCAGTCGCACGATAACTTGATAGCATTGGGTCAAATGAATATCATTACAGATAACGTCTCCATGTGTAAACAAAGAGGGGGGAAGTGGGAAGTGTAATTAATGTTCGAATTTTACAAATGAATTCATGTTCAGCATGCAAGTGATTGTGTGTATGTAAATGGATGGATGTTATGATGTCGTGGGTCACACCTTCAAGCTCAATGTCATAAGTTGTTTATAAATCTGATAAAAAAGGCACTCAGTCACGAAATGAAATGGAGAGAACGCATGGCCAGGACGTGGAAGCAAGTGTTCATACAGGTGGGGTGAATATCACTGGGGCGCAATTGTTACAAGGGGCAGGTAAGTGATTATAATGCACGGCTGGTCTCCGCAACTCCATCAAGTAACGGCATGGTTGTCCTCTGCCTCCAATAAAACACACTCGTCAAATATCATGCACCTGTTCAACGGCAGACGTTTTCCATTTCACCGTTCTTACTAGCCCATCTGAGTCCGTGTAGCTTTCTATGATTACACTCAGTGGCCAGTTCTCGCGTTGTAGCATTTTGTCGGCCATAAGAACCATAAGAACCGTTCTCTATGCAACCACTTCTGTCGAGCCCGAAGGGTTGGCAGGTACTCTCTTGTCCAACGCTTC